TATTCGACCCCTGCACTGCTACCAAATAAAGAATTACCATTATCAAACAATCTCTACTCATAACAATTAACAAAGATTATGCTCCACCATCAAAAGCACAAAATTCCTTCATGTAAGTACTATTCAATCTTTATAAGGAGTAACTTTCATGCATGGGTGGGTCTACAGTGGGAGTAGTGGATTCCACTGCCTCCACACTAAATTTAAAATTTAAGATTTTGCAATAGATTTTTCAAGATTTTACACAAGATTTTCACACATACAAAAAAATAATAAAAAAACATCTTGTAATTTTCAATTTTATCCCCACAATTAAAATTCCGTGAAATTTGCCTTCACAGCTCTACTCTCCTAACTTCACCCCTCTTTCTTGCAGCACACAATGTCGGCAGGGCCGGTTTTGCATAGAGGCGAGTGAGGCCCGCGTCTCGGGCCCAACATTGGAGGGGCCCTTAGATTTTAGCCTCTTTCATTCTTCCTTTTTTTTGGTTGATAAAACGTTTAGAACATTGTCGTTTTTGTGGTTTGATTATAATATAAATATTTTGTAAAATACATTTTATTTGTTGTTTTATTGTTTAAGTATTTAAATTAATAAGTTAACTATTGAATCCATAATACACTTATAGATTTTGCATTCATACTACAATTTTGGTGCCTAATTTATGAAATTCGCCTCAAGCCCCAAAAATCACATAACCAACACTGAATGTCGGTACAATTAATAGCACTTCATCATAAAGTTGATTCATCTAAATATCCCCCAAGTTGCAAGTTGATTTTATTTATATTAAATTCATCATCAAATGCACAGTTGTGTGTGTGTGTATTTTAAACAAAAAATTGGCCATCAACATATCATTCTCATCATTTGCTTTGTTACACTGTTCGATAAGGTCATTTGAATTCATTCTTGGGATTTCATTTTCTAAAACTCATTTTTAACTAAACATTTCATAGAACGTACAACCTTAATCAACTTTTCAACCACATATTTCATCAATTTTTATGATTCTGTAAGTGTAGTGCTGTTCTAATAATTTTAGTTTTTGGATATGATGTTTTAACATGATATTAGATCATAGTAAAAGACCCAGATTTAATTCTCCCTGCAACCTATTTATTAAAAACTGTGCACGTGTAAGGTTTTGATGTGGAAAAAATGACTTGGTCTACATGAAATGGCAAGTTGAAAATAAGATTTAAATAACTAGTTACGGGTACATATTTAATAGCTTAAACATTGAATTGAGATGGTTAAAATGTCTTCTTTGTCGAGTAAAAGACGAACAATTTACCTTTTGCTTTCATTTTTTGGTAAATCACAAAACTATTAGAATCTAGATGGTCTGGTGCCCAGATTATGATAAATTTGGTCAAAATTGCAATAAATTACTGGTAAAGCTTGATTTTTCCATAGATTATGGAATAATGATCATCATGGAATATTACAGCTCTTACCTCCTTTATCTATTTACTTTAATTACTTTTACCTTTTCCTATCCTTCAAATTATCATCATGACCAGGCTTAATTGATGTATCTTTTGCTCAGGCATTAGTCATGAATTCACATTGATATACTTTGATATGACACACAAAAATAGTAAGTTCGATGTGTTATATCATCGTGATAAATATACAAGATCAAATAAATGCTAGTCGCTAGAGACTGAGCTTCTAACGAGAAAAGCTTGGCCATGCCGCCTTTACAATGAGATCGACCACTTAATTAAAATAATATGATACAACAAAATATCTATATCAACGTGCTTATTTTTACTGGATATGGACAAAAGCTTGGACGATAGGGTTGTTGTTTTAAGTCATCTTTTAAAGCATAATTTAAATCGGATGCACTATTAAGCATATGTTTGGTTTAGTTAAAAATCGGATTTTAGTAGATTTTAATAAAAATTGATGAAATACGTTGTTGAAAAGTTGTGTCTTCAGAAATACGCGGTAGAAAATGAATTTGAGGAAAAATGGGGTCAAATAGGGGCTAAACAATGATATAAACAGATAAGATAAAAACTAGGATCATATTACATGTACCGAATTTTTCTACCGAATTTTTTACCTACTATTCCCAATGGAGATATGAACCATATTGTCGAAATTTTTAAATACACGCGGGCCCCACACATTATGTGAGATGGGGTAATCCATTATGTACAAATCATTATGTACAAATGGATTAACCCTAAATATTATTGCAGAAATAATTTAATTAGGTGAAAATTAAAATGAAAGAAAGACATGACTTGGTTAATAAGTGATCCTATAATGGTCAGCATGTGTAAAGAGTGTTTTCAAGAAAATCACATGTAATATAAAATATAACCTAATTTTGTATATATTATGAAAAAAGAAGACAAATTCCTTGCTTAATTAGCTTGTCAACACTGAGCACGCTAATCATCACACTGCATGTACTAACAGCACTAGCTAGAGAGACAAAATACAGGATGTATTTGTGGAAGATTTAAACTAATTACCTTCTCAACTATTTAAATTTCTAGATGAAGTGATTCAATACGATGACTGAGCAGGGCATCTAGCAAAGATTCCTGGTCCCATCTCCTCATCAAGCAAAATTATGTACATGTCGAACTTTTGACGAAAATACATGTTACTCATTCTTTACGGTTGAAACTTTTAGATGAAATAATTCATCATCAGTATAGATCCAATGCAAAAAATTTGTCTTACGAAAGATAAATCAGATTTTTTTTTTTTGATATATAGAATTTAATGGTCCGTTTGACAAAACTTTTACTTTTGTTTCTGTCTTAGACCAACTTCTCCTTAAATATCATTTAGTCAGACAAAGCGCTTTGAAAGAATTATTTAAACATATTCAAAAATAATTTCTTAGCTTAAACAGTTTTCTACTTTTTAAAAATCTTATCGAATATGACCTAGCTATCTTTAGTTTGAAAGTCATTATGGTAACACATGCTTCCAATGTGCCAATCTCAACTTATTCATGAATTTTTTTAGGTTTCGTAGATAGAGACAATTCGAAGAAGGTTGCTTGTGTCTATGGTTTTAAACTTTTGGTACCAAGAAACTAACAATTAATCATTATTGGCCCAATGTATATGTGAGTGTTTGTCTATATACATCTAGCTTTTGAGTATAGCTAATTATTCCATCCATAGTATTCCCATGAAAGGTCAATGAGAAAGTTAAAACCAAAGTCAACACCACTTCTTGGAGTACAAGAACGAAGAATGGAGTGAACAAGGAAATAGTACTCACTATGAGAACTTGTGCCAAGTGGAGATACCACTTTGTAGCACGACTTAAAGTGAAATGTTGGGTTCCTATGTTCATTACCATGTATGTAGGAAAGTCGAATTGGAGAAAGAAATGTGATATCGAAATGTCATCAATCTGGGTATAAGTAATTATATTCTGAATCAACTTTTGTGGCATTTTGATTTTCAATATTTCATTCTCCTAGCGTTTGAAGTGGCATTTGATGGAATTCGTTCAATTTCGGTGTTAAGTAATTACTGGTAAAGAACAAAATTATAAGAAACAAAAGGAGGAAGAAGAAGAAGAAATAATTTTTTTTTCTCAATTGCTAATATTGAAGAATCGAATTGCACGAATATTGGTTCGAGCGACAAGTTGGTGCCAACTTTCGAATAAAGTATAGAAACAAAATAAAGAACAAACCGGAAAGTTTTGCCCTTAATTTTCTCATGTTCAGACTTAATTGATTTTCTTAAACAATTATAAGTCAATATTAAGTGCCCATGTCTCGAGTCATTCTAGCAAAAGGAAAAACACAACCTTTAATTAATTGACTACTAACCAAATTCATTGTAGTTACATAAATCTTCATTTAAAATATGAATAATTTTATATTAAAGTCTTGATAACATAATTTAAGCATTATTATGAATGATAATATAAACTATAAATTGGATTAGACAATGATTATTCACTAATGCTTCTTTCTCGTGATTATTTGTGCAACTGAGCCGTATTGTGTTAAAATGGACTGGATAACCTGCGGCCTGGGTAGCCCGGCCTGTGACTTCAGTGTGCCCAAGACATGTCCCACCTAGTGGCCCAGGCCACGGAAGGCCCAAAAATCAAATTGTTTCTTTTTTTTTAAACAATATCAAAT